AGAGAGAGAATCAGAAAGAAAGAAAAATAGAACAGTAAGAGATAGAGAAGAAAGAATTGAAAGAAATAGAAAACAAATAACTAAAAACAGAAAAGGGCTAAAAATAAAAGAAATACAAAAAAACAAGAGAGGCATATAGAGAAACTAATAAGAAATATACAAATACATGAGAGAGAGAGAGAGAGAGAGAGAGAGAGAGAGAGAGAGAGAGAGAGAGAGAGAGAGAGAGAGAGGAGAGAGAGAGGAGAGAGAGAGAGGAGAGAGGAGAGAGGGAGAGGGGAGAGAGAGAGGAGAGAGAGAGAGAGGGGAGAGAGGGGGAGAGAGAGAGAGAGAGAGAGAGAGAGAGAGAGAGAGAGAGAGAGAGAAGAGAGAGAGAGAGAGAGAGAGAGGAGAGAGAGAGAGAGAGAGAGAGAAGAGAGAGAGGAGAGAAAGGAGAGGAGGAGACAAAGAGACAGACAGACTGACAGTGAGAAAGAAAGAACGAGAGAGACAGACAGAAAGAAAAAAGAAATAAAAACCTCAAAAAAGCCAACGAGTAGCAACTTGTCAGTGGATTTCCGCATTCGACCGCCGAGCCATATGGGTAACAGCTCGCGCAGGTAAACAGGTAAAAGCGACGTAGGTAAAGACAAGTAGACCCAACCTCACAACCGCCTCACAACCCAGGTCCTCTACCCTGGACCGAGAATCGCAGTAGACCCAACCTCACAACCGCCTCACAATCCAGGTTCCTCGACCCTAACCTTACAACCGCCTCCATAACCAGGTCCCTCGACCCTCAAGCCTTACAACCGACTCACAACCTAGGTTCCTCGACCCTCATCCTCACAACCCAAATCCCTCGACCCTCAACCTCACAACCGACTCACAACCCAGGTTCCTCGACCCTCAACCTCACAACCGCCTCACAACCCAGTTTCTCGCCTCAACTCAAACGCCTCAAAACCCAGGTTTGACCCTCACACCCCTCACAAACGGTTTCTCGACCTCAACTTACAACGCCTCCAACCAGTTTTCGACCTCAATACAACCGTCTCACACCCAGGTTTTCTCGACCCCTGCGCAACCTCGACAACCGCCTCACTCACAGGTTTTCGAGCCGTGCACTCACGACCGCCTCATTCCCAGGTTTTCTCGACCACCTCACTCACAACGCTCACACCCAGGTTTCTCGAACTCAACCTCACACACGATCACACCCAGGTTATCCTCGACTAAGCATCACAACCAGTTCCTCAACCCTAACGTCACACACCCAGCGTTTTCTCGACCCCCACCACAACCGGCTCAAAAACCCAGGTTCCTCGGACCTCAACAATAGACATTGAGAGAACCTCTTTAAATCGCCTACAACCAGGTCACGACCCCCCAACCTATCAAGTAAGTAAAAGAGTGCCCTAGGTGTGACAGTGAGTCTCATAGAGGTCCAGCACACGTTCAGCGGGATTAGCTCTAGGCCGAATGCACCTAACGCGGAGGCACGATCTTATAGGATCACATCTGTGTGCGGCTCAAAACCAAGGTGTCTTAGAGTCTTTAAGTTAGCCGTTACGAGTAGGTGCGCCTGACCGTCCGTCGAACATAGACGGCTCGACTGAAACAGTACCATGTCGCCTCAACCTCACAACCGTCCCTCGTCCTCCACCTACAACCCAGTTTTCCTCAACCCGTTCAATACTATCAAACAGCGAAGTCCCGTCTGCCCCCTCGAGCTCATAGACCACGCTCCTTAGTCGCTCTCAAGCACTCAACAACTCCAATGTCCCCGCCCTCCAATGCTCAACAGGTCCCGCTCGCCTCTAACCTCCACCCAAGTCCGTCGCCTCAAGACTCGATTACGCGAAGTTCTCATCACCCTCACTCACACCCAACGCTCCCTCGCCCCTCAACCTCACAACCCAAGTCCCTCGCCCCTCAACTCGACAACCCACGTCTTGCCTCAACTCACATTCCACGAGGCTAGGAATGTTCGGCGGGCCGTTCACTCAAACATCACAACCAACCCTCGGCTCCCTCACAAGACCGCAAGTCCTCGCCCTTGCCACCTCGTACCCAGTCCCTTCGCGGTCGAACTCACAACCACGTCCCTCGCCCTCAACCTCACAACCACGTATCACCTAAAACCAAGTCCCTTCGCCCCTCAACTTCACAACCCGTAAGTCCTTGCGCTACAGGCCTCTACAACCCCGTACTCCGACCTCAACCTCACAACCCACGTCCCTCGCCCCTCAACCTCACAACCCACGTCCTGCCCTCAGCTCAAACCAAGTTCCCCTCGACGCTAGAACCTCACAACCACGATCCTCGCCCTCAACCTAGACAAGCAAGTCCTCGCCGTGTAACCTCACAACAAAGTCCCTCGAAGTCACCCACATTACCCACGTCTTCGCCCTCAACGCTCACAACCACGTTTCCTCGCCCTTCAAGCCGTCAAACCAAGTCCCTCGCGCCTCGCAATCACAACTGCAGATCTGCGACTCAACAACCCACGTCCCTCTAA